TTCTTGAATCCTTTCCTCCTTGTGTTCCGCATTATTTTCCTTCCTTCCTTCCTTCCTTCCTTCCTTCCTTCCTTCCTTCCTTCCTTCCTTCCTTCATTTGTTCCTTCCTGCTTTCTTTCCTTCCTTCCTTCTCTTTCTTTGTTCTATCTGTCCTTGCTTTCTTTCCCTCAGGCTCCTTTCTTTCCTTCCTTGCTGTCTTCAGCAAAGCGTAGAACCCTTTACTGTAAAGCCATGCAGATCTGATCCAATTCCTTGTCCTTTCTCCGTCTGAGGCGTTCCCACATGTCCAGGACTGACCCGAGCTGCTCATTAAAACTTGTCTAAGCCTCTTGCAAAGCGACGCTTTAAGCTCTCTAACCGCCGCGTGTTTCCGCTTGGAGAGCTTGTTGGGATTAGAGTTTGGTCTTTAAGTCGGACTGAGGAGCTGACAGCAGGGGAAGAGATCTCAGCCTGCTTCATCAGAGACCTTAGCACATATATTCTGATCACCATGATGTCTCGCTTCATTTCCTCTCCCTGAAGTTTTTGTGTTTCAGATCATTGAGTAGTTTATTCTGGTCTATAGCAAGTTTTTTGAAGAGGTTTTCTCTGTTTGTCATTGTCAGATAAATTGCGGAGGAGCATGCCTAACCTTGTAAGAGCTCCCAGCATGCCCAGTGTGCCCATTCCAACCACTTCCAGTGCTTCTTCTGCTTCTTTGCTTCGTAACAGCCAGAGTTTTGATTCTTCCAGCAGTTTGGCTCGCTTACAGACCTCCAGTAAGTCTCCAGCACCATAGTAACTCTGATATCCTGTGATGTAAAAAACAGGTCAGTTTATTTTACCTTTTGCACCTCAGTTCCCGCTCCAGGCCAGCTTCAGAACCGGGTCCAAAGCCTAGGGAGCTTCTCCTCATTGTCACGCCAGCCACTGAAAGCCACTGCCTACGTCAGTCCCACCATCAAGGGCTCTACCTCCACCAGCCTCACGTCTTTGAACAGCAGCGGGAACAACAGTGGGATCCCCTTGCTTAGCAAGCCTGCAGGCGGAGGCTCCGCCCCCTCCGTCACCACAGCCCGCAGCAGCCTGCCACGCCCTGCCTCCTTCATGGGCCCCACAAGTTCCAGCCCCCGTAGCAAGTTGGCTGTATCATCACGGAGGTAACTGTAGCATTAAAGGTGCCATAGAATGATTCTATAGGGTTTTTGGTCCTTAAGGTCTCTGAATAGGGTGTGTAACATTGGTTGGGCGGAAAATGGCATATTTGCTCTATCAAATTGTTGATATTTTTCCTGGACATGTCCTACTTTTCATACCTAAAAAATGTCCGGGGGAATTTCAAAATCGTCGGGTTTTGGTCAACTGCAGTGGAACAACCTTGTTGTGCCTGCGCAATCGAAGTAGTTCTAATCCACACATGTTCACGATTTATTGTATTGCCTGCAAGTTCTCACTCGCATAAACTCACCTTGCATAGTCTAAAATCCGGGATAATTTATCAGACTATCTATATAAATTCAAATCTTAAATTTAGACATGCATACATTTCAAATTAAACCAATAAATTACCTTATGAAGATGATTTAAAAACATGTCTTAAGAAACAGCAACACCTGTTGTACATAACTAAATGGTCAGTATAATCATTTCAATACTTTTTTTTTCCTTTCTTTTTTCAAAAAAGTTCGTAAATTTTTGCTTGATGTTTTTCTCTCTTATAAGAAGTCCATCATTGAAGAAGACCATTTTCCCCTTTAAATGTGGACGCATTTTAAACAAAATTACTTAAGATGTTTTCACCCTTGATAAAATTGCCCAATCTCTGCAGGAACTTATATTCTTTAAGTTTATTTTATATCTCTAGCTGCTAGCTGTATGTATTTAGATATGAGCTTATATCTAAACTGGACAAAGTGGAGATTCAGTTTTAAGCTTTTACATTTTTCTCTTAAATTTCATAGTATTAACACTGTTTTATTACAAATAGGCTTTAGAAGCAATAAACTTTCTAAAATGCTTTTTTTTTTATAACTTCCTGTGTCAATTTTTGCTACAATCCAATGCTAGTGTGTACGCTATATTTTCTTTCGTGTTTTTTTTCCTCTTTTTTTGGAGTAATTACAGCACTAGTGGCTCGTTTTCCGCGTTGAGGACCAAGGCCTCCATACATTGGTGTGCATGCGAACCGCTATGCCACCTGCAGTTTTCTATAGTTTTTTTTTTCAACTACTATATAGATTTTAATTTCCCTCCTTTACAAACATTCTACAATTAAAGATTATAATAGAATCATTATTACTGATTAATGGTTGTTTTAAACAGCTAAAGGTTACTGTTTGCTAGTTTGCATGTATTGTAATCTAGCTTGTAGGTTAAAATCGGACATGGTTATTTTGTGTGAATGCTATTTATTATAGTTTTATACCAAAAAATATATATTTATTCATGGAATTCTGAGCTGTTTAGTTTTTTAGTAATTTTCACTGTTAATATTCTCTTGATTTTTGAGATGCTCACCATAATTTTAAAGCATTTTCCCTGCTTGTACAATTTAGCATTCATTTTGTTACATTTTTCCCTCTTTAGTTTATTGACGCCTCCAAAGAGCTTGTCCACCTTTAGCGCCCTCCGTGACGGCGCCTGGAGAGACGGCTGCTACTGATGTCCATTAAAAACCCAGCTGGCTGGGGGGGGGACGACGGACGCGTTGAACCTCAACATCTGGTTCCGCCTCTTTTCTTTATTTTCTAAAGTTCCGTTTGTTGAAACCAAAAAGGGGTCGTATGGACATCAAATCTGAGATCCTGCATAGAATAGTCGGATGCTGTCTTCATGTGAACGATCTTCTAGCTTCTATGCAGAATTTCTTTCGGAGAAAGGCGGGTAATTTTTTTGTGTTCGGTTGTGCCAAAAGTGAGCCGTTCCCTGTTGCTACTTGTGCAATAAACTGCTGGCTGTGAGTTAAATTTCATACTAACCAGCAAAGAGGGCTGCCAGTGGTTATTAAATACACCTCTAAAACTGTTTTTATTCAAGTATTTATTTTTAATTTGACTAATCTGGTGCGGTTGCCATGGTAATGGTTACCAGTAATGCTGCTAATGTGTTGGTTTGAACACATTTGGTCAAACTTTTAGATTTATTATTATTATGTATTTGTGTCCACATCTAACTATCTGTGCTTATATCTCTTTGTTAACTGATGCAATATTTAAACTGTAATTTGACCAAAACTGATTTATCAGAATGTGTTTGCGGATGTGTTTTCACCATGTCGTCACCAAACCTTGATCATATTAACACTTCGAGATCCTGATCTTCTTGCACTTTGAGAAAATCTCACAAATGATTTTGTTTACCGATGTTTGCACTCTGAAACTCAATCTGGTGGATTTGGAATAAAAAACACAGCGATTGAGCTTTTTTTTTTTTTTTTTATATCTAATAGTTGTACACTTTTTTTTTTTTTTTTTATGTAGCACTTCCAGGTTCTGCTCAACATTGTTTTTGTTTGTTTTTTAATCAATGGTAAAAGGGCACATATTTCACATTTTTTCACTTTTTGTGTTACTGTGTACTGTAAACATTTTTCTAAAATTTAATAAACTTGATATATTTGATAACTTTCTTCCCTGTTGTTTATTCATAAACTTCTGGAAATGGTATCATAGGCCACCTAGTGGAGAGAGTTGTAAATGGTTAAAAACGAATTACTGTATTTGCAAGATTGACTTAAGCCATTGAGACCTAAACCAGATGAATGTTTTTTTTATTTTGTTCTGTTTTTAATATGAAAGCAATAGTCTTATTAAAATATGCTGTTTTTTAGACATTGCATTTTAAGATTGTGTGTTTTTTTTTTTTTACCTTGTTCAATTATATATTTGAATTTGTTTTACTGTGTTTAACCCAAAATCCACCATCAAACCAGCTGGTTGACTAAAAAGGCTTAAGCATGCAATAAAACCAGACAATAGGTAATTTTGTAAAAAGCATGATGGGTGAAATTACTTTAGTGCTGCATACTTTGGCTTGAGTGATCATAAATGGTCAACACATTTGCAGATTTAAGGCAATTTAAAAATTCACAATTGCACGGGATAAAAATAGTTTAAACGTTGGATAGTAAAGGAGCTGCTTTTAATAATATATTCCATGTTAATTCACTTTAGAACTGATTGTGCAGCTGTTCCATCAGCTAAGATTATAAACTTTATTAAATAATTGACTCAGATTGTCTGTTAATGGTACATTAGATTAAAATATCTTTCATTTGATTATTTTATGTCCACTTAATAAAACATTAATTGGAGACTTGCCTGTATTTGCATAAGAGATGATGCCATAGATTGATCCAAAGTCTGATTATGAGTCTATTTACTCAGTTAAATGGTAACAAAGATGCAGAATGAACTTGATGTGGTTTGGTTTGTGAATATAAGCTCCTTCAGTGATCATTTAGCCATGCTAAGGGACTAAGCAATGGAAGTTTTTACTGTGCTTGGAAGGTCACATATTGGATTACACTAAAAAAAAAATATATATATATATATATATATATATATATAAAAAAGCTAAATCACTGTTCATGTCCATTTCATTAAAACAAAGTGGCAAACTGTCTGACTATATTTCTGCAATACGTTAATCTCAATGCTCCCTACAAACTTTTTTTATGACTATATTGCCTTTTTCCTGTGTCCTTTCTGTTTTCCTTACTTGCATCCTTTCTGCTTCCCTTCCTTTGTTGAACTGATGGAGGCTCTTGGATGAGAGGCAAAACATCTTCTAGAAAACTTAACGTTCAGTTGCTTGAACTGAACCTTTCAAGCTTGATTATGACCTGGATTGACTGAGAATCTTCAGATATGTTTTCACTCCTACTTTCAATTAAACTAGTAGTTAAATATCTAATTGTGAGGATTAAAACAACTCAATTAGTGCACGGAATGGTGAGTTCATTATAGAAAGGAGAAGATTCAGATCATAGGGTCATGTTGAGACATCTTATTGGTGGGTGAAATACTGCCACAAAGTGGACTGGAGTTGGAACTACATCTATTCAAACCCTTTAAAGCTTTGCAGTATTTAGACATGACTATTTTAAATTATAGATGGGATGTTTGGGATAAAGATGAACATGTATAATGTGTATTAAAGTGGGACAACAAGCTTCATTACATATCTCCGCTTTAAGGTTTATAATAAGGCTCAAATTTGAAGACCGTGATAATGATGAAAGACAATCAGAAGTCTAAGCTGCTTTATTATAGATTTAAACTAAACTCATGGGTTCTCCCTAATGCATAGACATTTGATCCATCAAGTTCAAGAAAAAGGGGGAAGATTGAAAAACAAAAGAGGAAGGATTTGTAAGGGAGATGAAAAGTCCAATAATGTGGAGTGTTTATGACATTTATTACTTCTTTTTTTTTTTTTTAATATACAAGTGTAGAAATACAACTTTAGTACAATAGAGTTGTTTAAAGTGTTTGCCGCAAGAAATGATCTAAAAGTTATTGGAAAAAGTGTATTTCCCCTCGTTATATACCATATTTTCCCCTAAGATATAGTAATTACACAAGGCCAGAATGTGTTTGTTTTGCTGTTTTATGAGCAGAAATCTTATTCCATTGGCAGAATATTTAAATTACTCAAATTAAGTGCAAGTAAATTTATTTCAAGACATTTTTATTTAGATATAGTTTTTATTTGCAGTGTATAAAAATAAGCTATTTACTTTAATGTCTCTAATGATTGTCAGTTTTATTATTTTTTTGTTTTGTTTTTTTTTTGTTTTTGTTTTTGTTTTTAGAAAGAAGATCAATGATGTAAAAGCGACCTCTATATTGTCAAAGATGTTATGTAGTAAAAGACAACTCACACTAATTCTTTTTTATTTTATTTTTTTAGTATGTATGAAAACCATCAAACTTAGTCTGTTACTATTTTTCTATTAAGCTGCAGAATGTTGCACTAGCAGGGTGATACCAGTCAATTATATTTAATAATATAAACCCTGCATTTATTCACGGGGCCCACAGAGGAAAAAACGGGGTGTCAGGTTAAAAACTAGAGAAAAAAAAAAAAAAAAAAAAAACAATCAAGGAAGAAAAATACATACCCATATTTGGACGGAGTATTAGAGACATAGGCCTACTTAGAGATTTAATATTAGCCTAGAAGTATGAAAATAAATATTAATATTAAAACCAATCAGATTATTAGGGCTAGACGTAAAATTACGAGGATACAGATGCAATATTACAAAAAAAAATCATCATAATATTAAGTTTACATGAATAAAACCGTAGTAAAGTTTTAATATAATGAGAAAAAAAACAATAAAAAACAATTTTTTGCCCCATAATTGGCTTTAAAATGATTATTTTTTTTCTCATAATATTATTATGACCTTAGATTTGTCTCTTTTACTAATGGAATCAACTGGAGAAAAAAATAAAAGCTTTAAAAATGAAAAGGAGGGGAAAAAAGAATAACGTATATGGGAAATCAGATATTCTGTCTTTGAAACATTTTAGGATTTTTATCTCAATTTATATAATGCCAAATTTATTTAGATATAATTTCAAATTGATGAAAATGTCTGAGCTTTTCTACCCGTTTAGTCGTTTAAGAAACAAATTCCGTATTTTTGCGTCTGCTTAAATAAATTTCAACGCCGAATTAATATATATAAATCAGTGAGTGAGGCATCCTGTTGTTCACAGACGATCTTCGAACACACGCCCAGCCTCAGCACCAGCTCATCCTTTCTTCACGCGCTTCTCCCTCCTCCTCCCTCATCCTCGAGGCCCGCGTGACGCACACAAACACCACAGAACACTCCTCGCGCTCCTCTCTCGCGCCTGCCTCGTTATGTCTTTGATCCCCGCCGCCCTTCCATCATGCCCGCTGCCGATCGCTACCTGCCGCCGATGCTGCTCCTTTTCCTGCCGTCCTCGCTGCTGATCTGCAGCCTGGATGGGCTGGTGAGAGCGGAGGAGGAGGGCGGAGGCCTGTCCTCATCCCCCGCTTCCTACGGGGACAATGGCCACCCTGCCACTGAGGGAGACACCTCAGCTCTGACTACAGGTAAACAAACAAACATTTCTGAAGATATTTACAAACAAATCGGTCTTATTGTTGTTGATGATTAGTTATGTTGTTTGCATTTATAAATAAAATAAGAATCCAATCAATTCCTTTATTATAAACATCTCAGCATTAATGGGAACCTTGAAGCTCCTGGACATTCTGCACTGAAAAAATAATGTATTTTGCATTCAATTAATCATATTTATACTTTAACACTATTTTTTTTATGTCTTACCCTGCTAACATAAAAATGGTTGCATTATTTTTTTCAGTGATGCTCACATCTTGTTTTGGTGTAATTTTCCATCCTCCCAGTGGCTCAGCTGTGCTTGCCTCATCACTTTTTCACGTAGACACGTGCAGCTCTGATCTCATCCCCCCCTCTATTCCACCTCCTTTGCTTTCTCCTCAGAGACCCAGTTTTCCCTAAAGGTGCTGGTGAGAGACCTGGTGACCCGCCGGCCGTTGGCAGGGGCCTCAGTAGACGTCTACTTGAACCACACCTTCAAGAGTTCAGCCCAGACAGGCGAAGATGGGGAAGTCCTGCTCTGGGTACCGTACAACCCGGGTGTTAGTTTGACTCTACTGGGCGTTAAGGAGGGATATGTACCCACCCCACTGCCTTGGAGCACCACCAAGAGACCAAGTGAGGGAAAGAAGCACTGGATGATTTTAGGTTTACTTAGACATCATTATTCACAAGAAAGTCAGCAGGAACCCATGGTTACCGGACCATCTTTGTCCTGTTCAGGAAAGGGAGGGCCAGGGATGGGGGCCCCTGATGCGCAGCTGTGACAAAGGGGGCCTCTCGCTATTGTACCCTGTCCCCAAGCGGGTATGAATTTGGCAAAAAAGCAGCAGGGAGGTGGAGGTTTAAATGGAGCAGGTGTTTTATGGGTCTTATTTTTACAGACACCTCCCTTCTGAGCAGCTGAGGCACACAGAGTAGTCCTAGCAGGACACAATGCCATCTAGTGGTTATTTGCAGAAAAACACCTTGTCAAATACCCTTTGGCTCTTTGTTTGTTGTGTTTTCTCAATCCTCCACAGTGCCTTGCGTATTTAGCCATATCCAGGCTCGGACTTATGGACCCCACCCAGGCAAACATGTGTGTCTCAAATGTGAAAGACATTGTGGATTAACCGATCTATCTTCAAACATCACACGACAACCATCACCGAGACTTCTATAATGCGGTTTTACTGCATTTGGTTATTAACATGGCTGCTACAGTGACTTCAGCAGGGTTGCCTGATGTCACTGACCAACGTTCTCCAGCCCAATACATTTTCATAAACTGCCTGGATATGTGAAATCTGGCCTAATTTGAACCAAAGTCTACTGATCTCTTAGGCCATAATTCTAAAGAAAAACATTTTTTACCCATTTAGCCATCCTGAAGACGGGAAACGTTAGCCTTTAGATGCAAAACCACATCATGCACCGCAACATGAATTGCAAAATATAAGAGGAACATCATTGTTTGGTTTAAGAAAGCATTTTAGTTTTATTATAATTCAGTTTGTTGCAAGGATTTTACAGTATGAAGAAATAGAAAATTACACCATATGCCAACCGTCACAAGGATGTGCATGACAAGGAAGGGCTATATATACTGCATGCTTCATTCAGGTAGAGTAAGTGTTGGGGCCGGTATGATTGGGGGGCCCTCGCACGCTGAAATTAAGACCGGCCCACGGGGCATATGCCTTTATTACGGATTACCAGTCTGAGCCTGGCCATATCTTTTTCACGTTTTCCGATTTTCTAACATTTAAACTGAAACTTGTTTAATTTGGATTTCATGCAAAAAAGACCAACAAAATGTGCCATGAAGCAGGATAAATTTGAGCTCTTTTTTTATTTCTTTTTTTTTAATTTTGCAGTTTTCTCCGCTGTAACTTTGCTGCTGCTCCCTCATAATCAGGGAAACATCTGGCTATTTGAAGACTCTGTTCTTATCACCAGGAAGTTACCCGGTAGGTTCACCTTCAACTCAGTCAGAGCGGATACAGAAGGACACTTATTCTTAATGATTATTATCTTGCATATTTACACAGACAGTACCTCCCAACCGAGGATCAAGTTCCCCAAGAACCTCCTCAGCGTTCCAGATAAAAGCAACATCTCTTCATTGATGGCGTACTTGACCGTGCCGCAGCACCATCTGGCGAAGGATTGCGCCAATTGCACCCCGGGCATCGTCAGCAGTAAATCAGGTATGTTTATTTATTGGGGCTCACTAAGCCTTGTCTGAATTTTATGAGCTTATTTTCTCGAGAAATCTTTTCAGTGCTTAGAAGCATTGAGCTAAAGGCATTGGCGGCCATTAGCGTTCAGTTGTACTCTGGTGGTGAGGAGCTTGAGGTTCGAGGGCCCATCCAAATCAGCCTGCCGCTGGGACACAACAGCCACCTCAGAGCCTCGAATACAGTACCCGCCTGGGCCTTCAACATGAAAACAGGTAGGCATAAGACTCCTTAGGTATATCACAATACATTAATGGCATTAGCTTGACTACATGGACTAATGCTTTCTATAGGTGCCTGGGAGAATCATGGTCTGGGGATAGTTGAATCAGTTGGTAATGAGCTGGTTTGGAAGTACACAGCATCTCATCTGGGCTACTGGATTGCTGCCCCCCATCCTTCGGCAAAAGGTACCTTGTCCATATCACGTGATGCAGTGAAAAGAAGTTTTAACACCCAGCTCGCCCCCTGTTGGCAACAACAGCTGCCATCACACATTTGTCATAACTGGGAATAAGTTTTTTTCCATCACTCTTCTTTGCAGGATTATTTTCATTTGGGAAAATGGATCTAATGGTGGTGGCTACAACTTCTCCATCAAAATAAAATAATGAATGTACAAAATGTCTAGATTATCTAAATAAAAGGTTAAATTATACTATAAAAACATTGAAAAGGAAAGTACTTTACATTACTAGGTTGACGTTGTGAAACTGAGCTCAGGCATTGCCAAATCCTAGTAGCTTCATGATAGTGATAAGAAATGTCTTCTAAACAGTGTTACAATTCTTAGATTCCAGCCAAGAAATAAAGGGGAAAAAAAGAGGCTGAATGAGCCAATTCTTTTAAGCGTTGGTGCCAACTTGGGTTGCAACTCAACATTTCTCTTCGTCCAAACACAACTATTTGAGTTCAAAGTTCTGGAGGTGGTAGGTCAAAGCTGTAATTTGATTTCCTCCAATCAAATCCTCTTCTCGATCATCCGAACGCTCTCTGTAAAATTTCACATGGATCTAGACATGTACGTACTGGCTTAAGCAGGGGGACACGAGTGGCACTGCCCAATATGGGCCACTCTGGACATGGTGTGTTACTGATGGTAGCCTTTATTACCTAGGTGCACATCCCTTTATGTACTTCTGTAAGTTTTGCTAACTGTTCGCATGATCATTTCCAGATCTTGGCTGAGGCCCCAGATTGAGGGAGATTATCAATGGTCTTCTATGTTTACCATTTTCTTAGAACTGCCCTGTAGTTGATTTCTTCACACCAACCTTGTTGTCTAGTGTAGATTCATTCTTCCAAGCCTTGTGCAGGTCTACTATTTTCTTATTTTTTGGTCAGCTCTTAGGTCTACAGTAGCTCTTAGGTATAGCTCTTAGGTATTGGCTGTGGTTGAGTTGGATTCTGAAGGTAGACTTAGGATACATGTTTTATGATTTACAAATACAATTTCCTAAATCCTATAATGAGATTTCCTGTATTTTTTTTCTGAATTCTGTCTATTATAGTTGAAGTGTAGGAGGAAAATTACAGACCTCTCTCATCTTTCTAGTATGAGAAATTGCACAATCAGAGTCGGACAACATGTTTTTGGCCCTGCTTTAAATGTTTAACATTGACATTAACCAACTGGCAAGTAATACAGAACAAGATTGGGCAAGTGCGGGTACACCATGTACTTACTGAAAACATGAAGGTTTAGGAGTGGGCTGTTTCTGAGATGGAACTTGGTGATATAACCTTGATCCCTGTCCTACTGTACACTTCAGTTTCAAGGTCTCAAACTGGCAGACTGATATTATTAAAGGATTTTAAACTCGAGAACTTTAAACCACAGGAAGAAAACCATTTTGTGAAACAGCACATCTGCTCCACACTATTATGCTACTGCCATTGTGTTTGACTGTAGGTATCATGTTCAACCCAATTTATGTTATTTCTAATGAAAACATGAGTCAGGCCTTTATGTGTCATGCTTTCCTTTTAGTTTTGGGTCCTCAACTGAGGCAAGTGAGACCTGAAGCACTTTAAATGCTGTTATTGGGTCCTTCTTGACCTCCTGGATGGTTCATCAATAGGTTGTCCGCTCCTTCAAAGGTCCATCATTGTTTCATGTTTTCTTTATATGTGGATCCCTTTGAGGTACCTAACCTCTTGTAGCTTGTCTACAGATTGGAATACAATGTCCTGCATTTTGAATCTTTTAGCCTACTTCATGTTGTCAGACAGGCCTTCATTTAAGTAAATGCCTTATTCTACAGGTCCTTAGTGTTTAGAAATTTCCCAGTACTTTTAATACAGGATCTTGCACTTATGCATGTCAAAATTTTTTTACCTTTCAGATTATTTTGGACATGCAAGCTCTATGGATTTCCTCTCTTACCACACCTATCTTTTGGTGGGAATACTGGGAGGAACTCTTGCCATAGTAATTGGATTCCTGTCCTTGCTTCTATGTCACTGCGGGTAGGAAAAAGAACATTCACCTTACCAGTTGTAAATATTGATTTAAGGCATAAAAGGTTTGCTGAGCATCCACATTTCCAAATTGATAAGGTTTTGCTTTTCCACATCCAGCAGTTCCAGTCGAGAACCCAAAAGGAGGAGAAGGGCCCGCTTTTCAAAACTCACCGTGGTAAAGAAAGACCAAACAACCTCCACCCACATGGAGGAAGGTTTGCTCCTCCGATCTGGTGACAACAGCCTCACCTCTTGCAGTGTCCAGTGTGAACCATCCACACCAAGACACAAAGCCAACTATAACATCTATGTGGAGGATCCAGGGAGTCTGGCTGCAGCTCCTCTTTACGATAATATCGCTTCAGATCGGATGAAGGGACCTCAGCCTCCGCCACACTACATTAACAGTGAGGAAGTGGCTCGGATACGAGAGAAAGCAGATCAAAATCGGGCCAATTTAAACTCCGACAGCTTCTTTCAAGATAAGCTGGTTCACATCTACAACCAGCCGTTGGCAATTATTCAGGCTCCGGAGCTGTTTGGTGCTCAGGAGCAGCAGCTACCAGGCTGCAAGTCTGCCACTTTCCCCAGGAATGGAGCTGAGTATGATCCTCATTCTGAGCCTGCAAGTAAAGACAACTACACCCAGACGCTACCTAAAGTCCACTCTCAGGGCGGGAGCAGTCCGCAGCAGAGCAATCAAGATGAACCTCAGCCTCTGGAGACTCCCCCACCCGGACAAGGTCCTAACGCTAGTGTCTGGGGACGCTACTCTAACCTCTTAGAGTCCTCTGTTTCTGTTCCAGGGACTCTCAATGAAGCAGCTGGTATGGAGTCCTTTAGTAGCGGCCATAGCAGTGAGCTACAAGGGATTTCTGAGCGCACCTTGCTGGAGTTGACTCGTGGGAAGTCCTCATCAGCTCACCCCAGGGCTTGGTTTGTTTCTCTGGATGGAAAACCGGCTGCCCAGGTTCGCCACTCCATCATCGAGCTCCAGAGCCGGCACAGGCCGCCAAGTAGCAACGACACCAGCCTGGACTCTGGCGTAGACATGAACGAGCCCCAGCAGAACATCCGTGACGTGGAACGTGAAAGGCCATCGATGAGGGCCTCCTCCCTGCCACATCACGGCAGAGGAGGCCGGTACGGGGAGGAGCAGGACCTGAGCAGCAGCGAGAGCGGCACCACTGCCACTTGTACACCTGAGGACCCTTCCCTAAGGAACATTCTCGATGGAAGCAGTGGGGCTATTCCCAATATTCCCGAAGAGCGAGACGGGATGGATACATCCAGCGCACAAGAGGACAGTGAGTCGAGAGGTACGCCGCCACCTCGGCGTCTTCGGAAGGTCAGAGAAAGAGGGAAGGCGGACAAGAGGAGTGCCAAGCACGTCCGGGAGGGAAGACCTTTGACCAAGAGAAGTTAGAGCTCATTTATTTTAGACATATTGTTGAGTGACTGGACTGAGCTCCTCAAATTTGTGTTTACTTAGGCATCGTTGTTGTTGAGTCACGTGATTGTACAACTTTGCCAAAGAAAGCTTAAGCTAACTTAAGATGCACATCAGCATCTACAGTGTATTACACTGACTCCTGATGCAGATGCTGTTTAAGAAGTTTCTGCACCTTGTTCCCTCAAATCTGAAGATCACCAGCGAGATTCTTCAAAGCTGATATGTAACAGTTCCTAGTGTTTGCATTACAGAGGGTGCCTTCTTACAACCTGTAATCATGAAATGTAATTTGTTTTCTTGTATTTATTGAGAATCTGATCAATCAGCAGGATGGACAAGTGCACCTACCCTCACCATAAATGCCTGCTGTAAATTGAACAAGTAGCTTTCCTTATTCTCAGCGCTTTCACCAGAATTTGAACACACTGCCTCAAAACAGAAGGACTTCTGCACTGAGCTGGAGAAAGACCACACAGCTGCCACATAATGTTCACAATATTCAAGATTTTAGGACAAGAGTTACCTTTTCTTTGCATGAAAATGAAAGTCTCCTTTTATGAGCGAGACAAATAGACTGAGATAAAAAGAGATCGGAATAGCTTTTAGAGGACTCTGTGATTGATTGTTTTATTTTATTCTCTGGTTTAGCCAGGAAACTCATGTTTGTGCTGCCAATTGTAACCATTCCAACTCTGGGATTTCTATGCCACAGTTAGAGAGTAGTGAAAGAGCCAATATTTGTTTGTTTCTGATTTTAGAAATGTATTCAGGGGATTCACTTTAATGGTTTTATATGCTTTAATATTTGTAAAAAAGTTTTTTTTTTCTTTTTTTTCCACCGATACAGGATCTTGATTTTCTTTGCCATATTTGTGCATGCTTTGAATGAACTGTTATCGAATGAAGGGTTGAAGTTGGCACACTAATATTAATTGAGCCTTTGCTTGCCAATGAAGTTAAGTCAAAGTTCTTATGGCCCTTTTCTTTTGGTACTAACTTTATTTGCCTTGTTTGGGTTTGTGTTTACTCTCCATGGGCGGTACCACAACAGTGTCAGTGGGGTTGCTGTAGAAAGGTGACCAAAAACACACAATACAACAATGGAGGACCCAATGACTAGTTATGGCTTTGTCAGAGTCATAGTAAAAGAAGATATCCAGAAAAGATAAGAGAAAAAGACTGGATAAGTACAGGAGAGAGAGTAAAGCAATGAAACTGAAGGATATGCATAGGATAAAGCATGAGGCTAAGCTAACGCTAACTAATGCTGACCTAATGCTGGTTAAACTAAACCCAGCGTATTGCAATCCTTCTGTGATATAAACTTGCCACTGCTGACTCCATTCCTTAGCCAACTGGTGACCAGCAGTCTTATTACATCACATTTTCATCAACTAACTTGTATGGGTAAAAGGTTGCTTTTAAAAAGGAAATATTTTTCAGAGAAAAAGCCAAATTGAAACGGGCGGAGTTGGTTCTAATAGAAAAGGGCTATTATCATGAGCAATATAGATGCTAAGGGTTGTGGTTTTACTGGTTCTTTTTATGCAGCTGGACATCATGGGAGCTGGGCAGGATCAAGAAGTATGTTTTGACCAACATGGGAAGTCATAACTGAGGGTTTTGGGTTGGTAGAAAAGGTCCAGTCTGATCAGATTTGTCATCTTATTGGTCAGATGTAGCAAAGGATACTTAAAATCATTATGAACACCTTCCTCTGCCAGAAAAAAAGAACATTGCACAATTTCAGCTGTTATTGTTTAGATTTAAATAAGATCTGGGATCAAATCTTAAAACCTTGCTTTGTATGGACTGGTATATAAAGATGGTTAAAGCTCACCCTTTGCTATTATGCCTTTAATCCACCAAAGGAGAAAGTCACGAAGCCAAGTTTGCAAGTATGTTGATGTAAAGCGATACCCAACAGTGCTAATGCCAGTTAAACATCTGGGTAAACAAAGTAGCTTTACACACCAGGGCAGCAGTGCTTTAAATCAATCACTGCACATTAGTGAGCACCTTTAGCACACATTAGATGTATCACCAAAAAGTAAAACATAAGGACTTCCGCCATGGGTAGATTTATTCAAAATCTCATTGTCCATGGAAGGAATGAAAAGGCTAAAAAATTATCACTAAATTCTAGGTTTTGTATATTCCCTGATGCTGACCAAATGTTGTGTAATCAAGACCAATCAGCTTTTTATGCAACCTAGTGTGAACTCAACTGGTAAAGATGCTAAACATAAAATATTCACCAATGTCAACACTCATTGCACCAAAATTGGGCTGGAATCTATATCGTCATATATATCAGTATTGGCCAATATTGGTCCTTTTTAAAAATACCAGTTTAGTTCTGATGCGTAAATCTTGGTGGATGTTAACCAATGTTTATATCTGTTTATTTTTCTTTCCTTAAGGGGATTGGTTCTTTGGTATTACTATGGTCACGTGACAGGGACTGTGATGCAGCTCAGGACTGTAAGTTTTTACAGGTGCATAGTCGCGTTATTTGACATTTTTGAATTTTATACACTTGTTGCATACAAATCTTTTCCGAAAGTTTACCATGTCCTGCTGCCGTTCTATTTGTTATTTTTTTGTGTCTTACACTTCGTTTTTGCTTAACTTGTTAGTAAATAAAGCCCTTTGTTTCTATTTAAAAAGCTAGGCCTAAATGAATGGATGTGCGACTAAAAACCTTATTAATATGGATGATAGCAATAGCAATGTTATTTTTAGTCTCTACAATCAAATCTATTTTAATTGGATAGAATGATATAGATTGGGTTTAACCTTGATGCTGTCTTTTTGTTTGTGTTTGTTAGGAACGAGAATAATCTTTCTCTTTGATATTCTGATAGGAGGAGATAGAGTTGCTATAGATCTGTTTATTTAATTAATATTTGCTGGTTTTCGACCATACCAAGCTGTTTACTGTGAGACACTGCAGGACACTCACGCTCTGCTAAGAAGTTGCTTTCTGATAGTTCTTCGTACTACCAGCAGATGGCCCCACGCCTCAGTTCATCGCACCTGGTGCTGGAATTCCATTTAGGCTCAAAAGGACTAGCTAAACACTATCATGAGTATATATGACCTTATTTTACCTGGATCATAGGTGTTTTTTTTGTTTTTTTTGTAAAGGCATATAACATGACTATGCACCTTTAACTGAAAAATAGAAGCAATAGCACTGTGGTTGGTTTTTATGTGTCAAAACGGTAGGAAAACAACTGATATATGAGGTTGGTTTTATCAAGTATTGGCCATAACGGCAATATCAATATGTCGGAGCATCCCTTCAACAAAATCTCTTTTAGACAAAATTGTTAATCTATTTTAGGCTAATTTCATAATGTAGTTAAAATTTATAAGGCAGACCGAAAGTTTGGAACAACAAACGCATATATCGGTCTACTTTGCAACAAGATTGTAACTTAGAAATACATTTTGCTATATATTTTTTTTCTTTTCTTCCTAACCACTATTTTCTTTTTTTCATGCCTTTCTTTAAAAGAAAGAAAGGCATTTAAGATACAGGATACCTTAGCATTATCATTAGCTGTTTTTCAACGAACGGCTCAAGTCATTAACTCTGACTCAAATGAACCATGAGTGAATATTTCTGGCCAACCAACTTAGGCACAGTTAGTCTTCCATTCTAGTTCTACTAAAACTTGCTTTTAATAATGATTTCTCTTTGATTCTGTACATTGTAAAGTATTATCTTTTTATATGTAAATACCATTTTCAGTGAAACATGGCTGTGATTTAATCATCTTGTGTTTGTTTTCTTCCGTCTGAGAGACGATTGACCGATCTGTTCACTTGACAGATGTGTTGTTGTATTAATGTGACTTATTTCATGGTTGTCTTTTTTCAGGGGAAGGCTACGAAAAGCTTGAACTTTCTAAGAGGAGCTGTAGCTTATAAAAAAACCCACAAAATACACTCATGAACCCGCAATTTGAAAACACCTTACCCTGCTTTTCAGTGAGAACACTTATGCGGATTTTCTTGTTCTGTACAACAAACCTACTGCCATTCTGACTATCGAATGATTAAGGTGAATGTATCTGTAATAAGTTTGATGTTCTTCTTCTTGTATTGTAGTCATCCAGCATCATCAGCTTTTGTGCTACGGAGTGAATTTTGTTCCATTATTTTTGCAAGCAAATGACATGTTTTTTTAATAGAAATCTAAATAAAAAGAGATCGAGAACTTAAAATTTGTAAAAAAAAATTCTTAATCAAAAGAAAGTTTTTAAGAGTTACTATGCTGTCTTATATATTTTTTTTTTATATTTATTCTTTGAAATGCAATTTTTATACATGTTTTAATAATCACGAGTTTCATTATGAATTGCATTTTCCCCCTCAGATTTCCATTTAACGATGTATTATTTGCTTGCAATAATAATGCATCAAAATTCCCTCCATAGTTTTCTTCCCAAAATGACACCGCTTGTGTTTTAACTTCGTAATGATGTTGGTGTTACTGTTATTGCATTTTTTGCGCACTAAATTAATAAATGTTCTTTATAATAATTATTGCTTGGTTTTTATTGAAACTCCAGTCATCCTCAGCTCCATATCGGCTGATGTTCTCTCTCTAACAGCAGCCTTTTCCTTGTCTTTGAGATGCACATTTGTTTGCTTTGCAACCATGTCGTCGCTTGTCTCTTTCTGTCCAAGACCACTAAAAGATGAGGTATCCATTAGAACATCCGCTTTAAGAGCTCCACATGCAGGAGAGGGTTTAGCACTTTGAGTCAGCAATGATATCCCAGGGATGACCAGGTCCTTAAAGTCATTTTACTTCTGCTTAGCGCAGAGGAACTTAGAAGACGTGTTTCTCTTGATTCTTCCCCCACTGAAAATGATGAATTCATCCAAAGGACAGGAGTTCGACCTCAGGATCTGGTCGACACAGTTCACGTGAAACTGAAAAGGGGAGAAAGAACAAGCATTACACTGAAGTATTTCAAACACTTGAACTTTTTTTTACATTTCATGATCTTTCACTGCAAAAAAATCTAATATAACTAAGTTAATTTTCTTTAAAAGTTGTATAGTTCCTTGTTTTGAACAAATAGGTATTGTGATTTACCAAAGGAATAAGATGATTTATGTTTAAAATAAGAAAAAATTCCACTCAATTATTTTATTTCAATGCATAATATTGAACTAACTTAATTTGGGACAAAAATAACAATTCAATTGGTAAATTATTTAACAAACCTGCTCAAATTGAGGGCAGATTTTTACATATTCAGCTTGCACAGTGCAGAACTCAAACGTTAACGCATATTACTGGAATCTTGTGTTTAAGATCCACATAAATAAAACAGATTTTTTATTTTTGACAAAAGAAAAAAACAAATAAAAAGAAAGGTATATCAGACAAGAGTGAGAACCTTTTGCGTGTTTTAGGAACTGGGAAAAGCCTTTAGACAATTGCTTCCGTTTCAATGCTCATGTTGAAGGTATTTACAAAAAAATCACAGCAAAGGCTCTTCCTGCTATGCCGGATAAGGAGCCTTTAAGTTAGTGACCACAAAACAAAGACAAACTTAGCAGAGTTGTGAAACAAGTCAGTAAAATCCAGAACGCCATCACTTGAACTTTGCACCAAAGCAGTGCATCGTCTCTGCTCTACAGTAACCTCATCAACGATGTAAGCTATCCACATTCTCTCTACTTTGAGCTCCCTCCATCGGGGCTGCGATATTGACTTGATCGTACTTGCAATAATTTTTGCACCCTGTGCCGACAGAGAGCTAAATTTACTGTAACTTAAACAGCAGCTTTTTAAAAGACTAAGGGGTTAAAGGGTAAATTTAGAGGTAATACAGCTGGGTTCCAGGTTTGAAAAATCATACGTCCTCCATCTATAAATGTAACAGTTTGTATATTAGAATGTCGTCTGCATATTGATGAAGGTAAAGACAGAAAAAAAGGGTTTGTGTGTATTGCTTGCTGATTGCAAAGGTAAATCACTTTGCTACTTGTTTGAGGAAATGCTCTTTAAAAATGCCCAACATTTTTGAAAATAACAATCTGACTCGGCCTTTTTTACAACTTATTTCACACTTTTTGACGCAACTAAAATTAGATCTGATCGGATTTCCCTTTTCTTCAGTATTGTATGTCACGTTTTCAGTCTTTCTCAATCATTTCTGTCACAGTTCCTGCCGTTTAGTACGAGATTACTTTAAGTTTCCAGTATATTTTTTGACAAGAAATAGTCTGTGGAGGAAAAACTGACAACATTATATAAAAGATTTGTTTAATTTTTATTTTTTGGGAACCTTGCAAACAATACCTTGTGTTGACAGGGCAGAGTTCGGACCTTTTGACCCTGGAGAAACCCCTGCAGGCAGATCCGACACTGCAGCCCTTCATTCAGCAGCTGAGAGCCGGATCTCACTTTCACTACTGGCAGTCGCTTCAACATTTCAGCTGAAAATGCCTCTGCAACAGTGCTGAGAAGTGGAGAAACTTGTATTAGTGACATGATCGGTGCAGAAATTTAAGGATCCCTAAATGTACCTTTCATCTTGTGGTTTGGGATTTTCAGAGGAGGCTGCATCCACAAGAATCCACTTTTCCTTTCTGGTCTGTTTTCAATGAAGATTTGAAATTGTTTTGTTAAAAACTCTTTAGATTGCAGCAGCGTGATTGGTCGTGGATAATTTAAACAGATTTACTCTGCTTGCTTTACCGTTCTTGAGGCAAGTGGATGTTGTGAGTGGCAGCCATTCTTTACGCAGTTGTCACAGAGATACAAAAAACTGCAGATGGTGCATCTGGAAAGTACGGAAGAGGATTAGGGCCACTGAAAAAAAAAAAAGTTAACTGATTTTTTTTTTTTTTA